AAAGTAGGGTCTTGTTTCTTGAGCACTGAGAAAATTAGAATAGCAGTTGGAAGTACTGGGAAAGTTTGTCAAACTAGGTCATCTTAGGGGAAAATGCTACGGTCCCGTTACGGTACCATCCCGTAGGGAGTTTTAACCGTTGGATACACATGTAGTTAGTATAAGATAGATGATCCAACGGTTAAAACACCCGACGGGATGGTTCCATAACGGGACCATAGGAAGGCCAACTAAGCCCAAATAGTTCATAACAGTTTCTGTTTTCTTGTATATATTTTAATTTTGTTTTTGTTTTTTTCATGAAAGGAAAAAACACTTGTGATCTGGTATTGGTGGAACTTGGTTTCTTGAGTCTCCTTCTGGTTGGATACTTTCGATTTTGATTACTTCATGCAAGCATGTGTGTTTGTACTTTGTTAGGTCTCATTTTTCAGCTCCAATTAATAAAATTCGAGTCGAGCTGAAATTTTTGTTTACAGAGGTTGGAATGTTTAATAAGATGGTATGATCGAATCACCTCTCGTCCTTAGGTGTAGATTGGTTATCAGTGTAGTTAGTCGGGCTTTGGTGTTATAGAATTATGTTTAGTGGGAATTCTGATAACTGCAGGTGATCACCCTATTTCGTAACAATTCAGTAACACCTTTAAGAAGCTCAAAACTATATGAGACTTGAGTAAATACTACTGGAAATAGGTTTATCATTGGAAAAAATTAAATGTTGTGTTCTATCATATTTATTGATTACGTCTTTACAGCTAGGTACTTACTAAGTTGCAAACTCGCAATGCACATTGCTCATCATACTTTCTTTTAAACATTATGTCACACGATATTCAGTATTTGACCTGGAAAATATTTTTATTTTTGATAGGTTTGTTTGTTCCTTTACTGAATAACTCTGAGAATAATCACGCTTGTAACTTCTCCGTAGCACCTGTCTATACTGTTGTATATCTTGAAGACACTTGCAGCCTTGCAGGTACCAACTAGTTAGTGAATGCATCTAAACGAGTATATATATATGTATCGCCATTTCCTTTGGTAAATACCTGTACGAGCAGCAGTCATGGAGGGTTTCATCTACAGAATCACCTCTTGGCTCTGCATCCACTTGGTCTTATTGTCACCGAGTGGAGTTACTTGAGAACGGGTATATAAAATTTGCAGTAAGTTGCATAACTATTTATCAATAATGATCAGGTTTGAAGAATTAAAGGTCCTGATATGCAGAAAACATGCAATGTGACATTGTTACATGAAGCGTTGTGATTAATGAAATAACTTATCAACATAAATTTGAAGAATCATTTATTTATTTTAAAAAAAAAAGAGTGGAAAAAAATAAAATAAAAAAAAATCTTGACCAAAATCAATCAGACGTATAGTGATAATATGTTTTTTATTGAAAAACTTATTCGCGGAATACGTTCTAAATTTGAAAACGTATTTTGCGTATACGTTTTAGTTTAAAAATGAAATTAAGCTAATTAATCTTAATTAACATAAACTAAAACGGATTAACAAAATACGTTTTAAAAGTAAAACGTATTTATGCAATACATTTTTTAATTAAAATTAATTTTAGAGTTTTGAAAATTTTTTTTTTTTTCCAATTCTAATATTCTGAAAATGTTAAACGTATTTTGAAAATACGTTTTTAATTCAATTTTGCCCTAAATCAATTTTGCCCTAAATTGGATTTAAGTTTTAAATAAAACGTATTATGAGAATATGTTTCTTTAAAAAAAGCGTATTCCCGTATACGTTGTAGTTTTCAAAAATAAAAAAATAAAAAAATAAATAAATACAATATAAACATATTCGATTAATCAACTTGTCCAATATACACATGTTCAATCAACCTGTTCAACCAATTCATATTTATCAACTCGCCAAAAAATAATTCTAACGTACACTATATAAAAAACAATCAACCACAATAATTTATTCAAGAAACACTATATAAAACGTAAAAGGTCGAAATACGGTATTTAAATACAAAACAAATATGTCTACAAAGTTCATACTACA